GATTGTCTACAGAACAAACCCCTGTTATACTGTTATAACCTTAACCTGCCTAATTAACCTAATTAAGCCTTTAAATGTCACTTTAAGCTGAATACTAATGTCTTGAAAAATATCTAGTAAATAACTGTGTACTGTCATTATGGCAAGGCTAAAATAAATCAGTTTTTAGTAGTGAGTTTTTCAAACTATTATGTTTAGAAATGAGCTGAACAAATCTCTCAGTTAAACAGAAATTGAGGGAAAAATATACAAGGGGGCTAATAATTCAGGAGGGCTATTAATTCTTACTTCAACTGCATTCTGTCTTTCATCCACAGAGGCAGAGGCTGATTAGAAACAGGAGTCCTGGAGACAGCAGTGGCAGTGGAGCAGGAGACACTCCGGGACAAGATGGTCCAGGCATGGAAGCGGTTCCTTGGGGTCTGGAGAACGGAGGGGCCCTCGAGAGTGAAACGCAACCCCTGGAGGAGCCCAGACGCAGGAGCCAAGGAGGAGAGTTAGAACGAGTAGCAGACATAGAGGACACACAGCCGAAAGATGACGAGGAGGACGAAGAAGAGGCAGATGAAGAACCCTTCAGGCCCTTTACTGTGCCAGGTGAGGGAATATCAAGAGTGAATCTCAGAGAGTTGTTTTGAAGACAGTTTTACCTACCATAGTATTTTCAAGCAAGTCATTTCACTCAGCGGCCATCTTTAAAATGGCTCTCGAGCAGTAATAAAGGGTGAAACATCACATGCTTGAAAACTGTTTGCCAAGCTTATGATTCAGGCCCGGATTGGCTAATCGGGAGGACCAGGAGAATTCCCGGTGGGCCGGTCCGTTTTTTGGCTGCGAGGGCCGGTGTCCCAAGCTCCAGAATCTGTTGCTCTCAGCAGTCACACTTTTTAAATTTGTTTATTTATTTACTTGACCACAGCCTTGTTATTTATTATTTTACCGCAGCTCTACTCTTTTTATCTTTTTTCTCGCAGCTCAGTGAGCAAGATGCAGCCTGCAGGTTAATGATGATATAACATCGATAAGTCATAATACTATAAACAGCAGTTGTGGTTCAGTGGATAGCTCGTTAATTTATGATGCGGCAGACCCGAGTTCGATCCTCATCTGAGTAAATTTTTTTTTTCATTTTTATTGTTAAGACATATAAGACTGTTACGGTTGTTGAACATTTGAAGTTCTAAAGCAGCTGTTTTCTCAAAAAAAGACGTGATAGTGTCATTAGAAACTGATTTGGAAATGACCTTATTTTAATATAGTCAGTCGTGAACTGAGGTGGGCCGGTCTGAGGCTTGAAACTCCAGGGCTGAAAAGAAGTCCCACTCCGGCCCTGTTATGATTACATATTTGAAGTCACCATTAAAATTAAACATCAACTGTCTCATAAGTTTAGTTTCTAAATGTTTTAATTTTAAAAAATCAGCATTTTTTTCAAGTTGTCCAAGCTAATGTGCAAACGCACTTGAAAGGAAACAAGATCCTAACTCCAACCTCATTTATGGCCGATTTACACATTATCATCCTCTGCATAATGCTTTGTCAGATTGCACTGGTTTTCATTAGTAGCTTGGTCTTGTCAGGGGCACATTTAGTGATTTGGATACCCCAAGCAATTCCAACTACGGGGCCCAACAGTCCTAAAATCCACTCTTTTGAAGTTTTGTAAATTTTTTAATTAATTTATTTTTTCTTATATCACTGAATCTCCTTTTCCATGTTTTATCTTAATAAAATCTCTACATTTTAAATGATTTGTTTTCTTAAAATTAATTCACAACAACAACAAAAAATGAATAAACCAAAAAAAAAGTTAAAACAAAAAAGTTTTAAAAACTAAATCTTGACCTGACTTGACTGCTGGACTGCGTTATGATTGGGCGTGTAATGCAAATTTATGTTGATGTTATAATTACGTTAACATTTAAATTGTAAGATCCTCACCATATACAAAACCGATAGAAAATGATGTTGTGTGTATAATTTATACTACTAGGTATTTATTGGGGGCCCACAAATTTCCTGAGGCCCTCAGCAGCTGCTTACTTCGTTTATTGGTTAATTATGGCCTGGTCTTGGTCTTAGCTTGAAACTTGGTCTTGATGATGAACCTCCTCCAGAAATGACAATGACTCTTTGTTTACAAGTTTTAGAGCATTTGAGTAGTTGTTGTCATGTGATGTGCATTTAACACAACGGACTGTACCTAAGCGTTCATTTCATGCAGATTACAAAAATAAAAAAAACTAAACCAAAACACATTGCAATACTAATAACATTGTTTTCAAGTATAGTAGGTTCATTTAATAGAAATGAAAAAACTGTACAAAAGCACGCACATCTCTCTTAATTGGGTGCTCAGCCAAAACCGCAAAAGGTGCTAATTAAATGTAAATCAAAGGCGGCAACACCAAGGCTCCAAAAATACAAATTTATCAAATTAAAAATGCTGACACAGAGCGTGTAACGTTTCGAGCCACCCGGCTCTTCATCAGACAATGTTCATCACAATCAGGTGCTCGTTTTTATACACTTCCGGATCACATGATCTCCTCTCGCATATATGCCAACATATACATACATGCATATGTATACATACACAATCGTTCATATATACATACATACACATGAATACATGTATACACATTCACATCTAGTCTATAGCTTTAATCAAATTACAAAAAAATATATATAAATACATAAATAAACTATAATATTACATCACAAATTATAATAAAAAAAAAAAAAAAAAATATATATATATATATATATATATATATATATATATATATATATATATATATATATATATATATATATACCATGATACACCAGACTATACAACAAAATATAGCCAAAAAACCTTTAAACCTTAAATAACCTTAAATTCATTTAATAGTACAAATTTCAAGCTTTATGTGGATATATTTCTAATGTCTGTGAAGCAAGTATTCACTGAGATTCCGTTGTGTTTGTTGACCACAAAAACTGTCGTAAAATCACACGTCTGGTTCCAGCTTCTCCCCCAGAGAAACTTCAGTCTATAGCAATTAATGATTGGCTGCTGTACTTGTAGGCAGGGCTTCATTCACCATATTGGCATTACACTTTTCCCTATTCAAAACTATATGAGTGACATGTCTTGTGTATTCTATAGTCTTTGTACCTACTCACAAACGCTTGTTTATTAGAACCAGATTGGACCGTCTATTGGTAAATCACGCATCTCATGGTTTTACATTCATCCAATCATTTATCTGTTTATTACAGTTAAATTGTAAATTATATTTTCAAGTTACAAGAGTTCAATTCAGATTAAAAATTAAAAAGTATTTTAGCTGTTGGCAGTTAACCTGAAGTAAGACTGTTTTTTGCAGGTTTTAATACAATTTCTTACCAAATGGAGCCATGTGTGCCTTTTTTATTTTAAATGCCACCTTGTGCTTAATCTGCTGTAATTCATTTTGTTATTGTGATGCTGCATGTATTGCAGTTTAGTACTTCGATTCTTGACAGAAATGTAAAAGTTATGTACAAGAAAACATTATGCTTTAACATCATAATTATGCTCCACTGTATTAGGTACCAACTATTTTACTTGCAGTTAATGTTCATTCACATTTTGTAATATATAGTATTTAGCATAAATGAGTACACCCCTCATAGTTCTTTCTTTTATATTCATATTTTCCATGACTTACAGTAATATATTTGTGTATATACATTAGCTTAGATTAGAAAACTTACAACCAGTTTAAAATTTAGCCGAAAAATATAGAATAATATTTCAATTAGCAGGAAAAATCAAGAGAGATGTAATAAATATGAAATTTATTTGATATTTTGTAGTTCATATATTTTTAGGGGAATAATTTGTTTGCATTTAAATTTACTATCTTTATGTTTGGTCACTAAACTCTTAATTTAATATATGTAACTGTTTATTGAAACGGTTTTGTTTAAATGCACTAAAATTATTGGCTATATCCAGGGGTGAAAAAAAGCAAAAAATAAAGGAATAATACTATTACTTGCCAAAAAATGTATTGCAAGTAAGAGTAAACTTATCTGTTGTAAATATTTCTTAAAATATGAGTAAAAAGTACTCAGGAGTTGTGAGTATCATAATGTGAATGGCTGATGTGATTACATGCAATTTGTGTGTGTGGGTGTTTGAAAACGTAACATTCTGTAGTGCATTTAGTTATTGTTTAAGGTCATTGGCAATTTCAGTCATCATACAGTAGACATACTTCATCTTCTCATCATACAGCACTAAAAATGTACTCAAGGGGAAGTTAAAGTACACATTTTTAAAATGACTCCGTAATTTAAAATTGCTGAGGAAAACTACTACTGGCTATATTTAATGACGTTTGTATAAAAATATTCATTTTCAAAAGGGGGTTGTACTCGTTTATCCTGAGCACTGTACACTTTTGTGAAAACTTCAATGTAGCTACTTTTAGGAAGTAACTTGTAGTGTAGCTATTTACTTTTTCTATTGTTTCCTGATGAGTTAGTTTCAGAGTAGCTTCCCTAACACTGCTTGGTACCTCTGGAATTTAAGCAAAGCCATTTTTTTTCACAAAATTCCCACACACTGCAATTTTTTCATTTTTCTGACCATTCTTTGTGAATGCCAGAGTTGCTTGTGTGTGATCAGATCAGCCCTTTTGGTCCTACCACATTTAAAGTCTTTAAAATCATTCTGATGAACTTCACAGACCTTCTTGACCATATCTAGTTGTTTGCATGTGGTCACCATTTAATCACCCTCAAGTGATTCCAAACCTACATTGCATCTTTATTCATTGTTTTGTTGTAAACAAAAGAAGATATATTGAGGAATGTTAGAAGCTGATATTATCATTTATATCCATAGTAGAAAAAAAAGCACTGTGAAAGTCAATAGCTACCAATTTCCAACATTCTTCAAAATATATATATATTTTTTTTGGTTCAGCAAAAGAAAGAAACAGGTTTGGAACAAGTAGATGACAGATTATTTATTTTGAGATGATCTATTTATAAAATGAGCAGTTGTAAAGGTGTACCTAATAAAGTGGCCATCGAGTGTATATAAAGCAGGATATTTTATAGGATCCCAATGCTACTCTGTGCTGTTGCTGAAGAATTAGATTTATTCAGAATCATTTTAGAATTTGATTATAACTCCCTGATTCGTAAACAAATCGAATCACAGGGTCCATAAAGACCCCGGTGGATGTTTATAAATGAGACCAAATATTGTATTAAACCATTATTCAGAATATTCAGAACAACAGCACAACACATGGAGTTTAATGTGCTTCATCTGTCTGTCATTTCTTTTTTCCCACATCCTGATTAGAAGAATGACCCTCATTTTCAGCCCCTTAAGGACCATAATCCATTAGTCTAAGAGCCATTTCTAGATAATGGGGCCGTGCATTTTAGATTGCTGCACTGGTGTTATGATTACAGAAGAGTGATGAGAGCTCTCAGATCTCTCTAGGCTGATGCGACTTGCAATCGAGTGAAAGCAATCACTGCTGAACAATTGAACGTCTTAAAGCAGATAGCGGGAAGGGCGAAAATGACTATTTAAGAAGCTCAAAAGGGAACTATAAAAACATTTAAATTAAAAACAAAAATAAATAAATTTAGAAATAAAAATAAAGAGAGGTCATTTAAGGTGCACTAAACTAATTTTGACAATCTGAATGCATGCATATAACAAAACAGGACCACACTCCTTTTATTATATCTGCTCTCTAGTTTCTAGACACACCTCTTACTGCTGATTGGCTGAAAGTGTGTTTGGGACTCAGTCCACCACTGTGGTCAAAAGGGTTTTTCAAATATTCTTTAGTGCAAATTAAATATTTAATAATTCAGCTATCATTGTCTATATCGGTGTTTCACAACCCTGTTCCTGAAGGCACACCAACAGTGCACATTTTCAACCTCTCCCTAAACAAACACACCCAAATAAATTATTTAATAAAATAAAATAAAATCATGAAGTTGCAATTCCGAGTTATTTAGTCAGAATTCTGAGTTATATTCTGAGTTTCCGGTTATGGCGACTGACTATAAACGGAGTGTTAAAGACGCATGCACATTTGCCCATAATCATAACGTAAAGCCTATAACCGACTTTTTATTGTTTATCACACTTTCACAAATGAAATATATAGGCTAGTTGAACTCGGCTGTCTATTTATTCGTATGGCTTTGTTCTTTTTTAATTATGCCATTTGAACCATTTAGTCTAAATAGCAATTATAAAGCATTAAACAGACCACCTGAAACTGTTAGCTGTAGTTTGTGTGATTTCTCCAAAAGCCTAAAATTAAGATTTCTATATGACTTATTTATTATATGTGTAACAATGATACGATTTACATTTTGTTGCAGCTGTTATTTGTTTCATTTTGCAAGGGTGCTCCCATGTGGTGTACTAGGTATCTGCAGACATATGTATCGTACATAGACATTTTAAAGGGCTAAAACTAAAAGGGCTGTATTAGTTCTCATTTCAGTTCAGTAAAATGTCAACCAAATACTGCGTCCTCCTGGCCTTTATTTGGAAAATTGGGTTGCGAATCCATACCAGATCACAGAGCAGAGAACCAAAGGAAGTGTTTAACGCTCCATTTATGGTCTGTCGTCATAGCAGAAACCCTTTTATAACTCAGAGTTCTGACTTTATAATTTTTTATTTATTTATTTATTTTTATTCAGTGGCAGTAACAGGCTTCCATGTGAATCTACCCATCAGAACATAAGAAGAGACTCCAAAACCTGAGGTTAATGGGTCAGATATGGAAGACGTTTAAAAGATGTACTGTTAGGAACAGGTTTGGGAAACACTGGTCTATAACTGGTGTCATTTGTATGTGATATTCCTATTGTCCTGTAGGTGGAGCTAAGTATGAAATCAAGTAATGATTTGAAGTGTTTTTTTTTATCCACAGAGGGGCGCTGGGAGCAAGCGAAATGGATGTTCTCATGGCCTTTAAGCTGCCTGCTGTACTACACTGTCCCGAACTGTGTTTTGCCCCGTTGGGAGCGCTGGTTCATGGTTACCTTTGTGGCCTCAACACTCTGGATTGCCGTGTTCTCCTACCTCATGGTGTGGATGGTGAGAGATCTGCTCATTTGTTTTTCAAACATTTGTTAGTAATATTAATAATATGCTATGAAAAAAATACATATTTTTTATTGCAGGTCACCATTATCAGTTTTACACTGGACATTCCAGATGTTGTTATGGGTATTACATTTCTAGCAGCAGGCACCAGTGTCCCAGACTGCATGGCTAGTCTCATTGTGGCCCGTCAAGGTCTCAAGATGACCCTTTTCTTCCTTCTCTTGACCATTTATTCAGCTGTATTGATGAGCGATTGAATGAATAGGTGTTTGTGTGTGGTTCTGCAGGTATGGGAGACATGGCGGTGTCCAACTCTATTGGCAGCAACATCTTTGACATTCTGCTGGGTCTTGGTTTTCCATGGGCTTTGCGCACCCTAGTGGTTGATTATGGCTCAACTGTGAGTTTATATTTGTGTGTATATGCGGTTACTGATATTAATTTCTCTAACGATTGTGGATCAATTCCCCCATAAAAAAAGATAAATATATGGCACAGTAGGTAGCATGATTGGGTAGCAAGTAGGTCGCTAGTTCAAGCCTCGGCTGTGTCAGTTGCAAATTTTGTGCTAGAAAAATTGTAACATTTAAACTCAGAATTTTGAGTTTAGAAAGACACAATTGCCTTTTTTGACCCATGGTGGAATTGTATCAGATTTTTTCATATATTATATTATTCATTCATACATTTTTCTTCATCTTAGTCCCTTTATTCATCAGAGGTCACCACAGTGGAATGAACCGCCAACCTATCCAGAATGTTTTACACAGTGATGGGTTGCAGCTGGAAGGACATTCGCTGCGTAAAACATGTGCTGGATAAGTTGGCGGTTCATTCCGCTGTGGTAACCCCTGTTTAAAAAAGGGACTAAGACGAAATGAAAATGAATGAATAAATGATTATTCATTTAAAATCTTAAGTTTAGTTTATTTTTGTTTTAGCTTCAGATCAGTTTTAATCTATTCTTATTTTGAGTCACTAATATCTGACTTTAAAATTTTAATAATCCCCTTAAATGATCGTTTAGTTTATTTTAATGTAATTATTTATTTTAATCAGAACCTAAAGTGTACATCAATATTTAAAATCATGCAGCTTTTTCTCCTGATCTTCCTCCAGGTCTCCATTAACAGTAAAGGACTGGTGTACTCAGTGATTCTTCTCCTTGCTTCTGTTTTCCTCACTGTAAGTTCATCAATCACAATGTAAGAAGTCTCTCCTAATCTCAAAATTGTGATATTTGTCAAAAAACATATTTTTGTTTTCTCTGCAGGTACTGAGTGTGCACCTCAACCACTGGAGGCTGGACCGGAGGTTAGGCCTCGGGCTCATGTTTCTGTATGCCATCTTCCTGCTCTGCTCCATCTGCTTTGAGAAACTCTAAATCCCACTTTCCTTGGTTAGCTTAGCTGTAGGGTAGACTTAGACCTGGTTATTCATATTTTACCCCCAGTCACTGCCTTATTAGTAGCGGTTATTTCAACCATGGTTTGAAGCCGGAGTAGTGAACGTTACATAAAGAGAACTATTACTCTGCTCTGGTAGATTAAAGGAATAGACCACAAAAAAAGGAAAATTTTTCTGATTATTTACTCACGCTAAGGGCATTTTAGATGTATGACAGCCAAGGAGATTTTTCTCCATCTAATGCATGAGTTGCAACATTCGACCAACTCTAACCTTCAATAATCTATATTTAGGCAGTCTAAAAATAATCCACAAAACCCTGACAAAAAAAGTGTCTTCTATGGAGAAACAGTTTGTAGTTTTCAGGAAAAAAGGACAAATGTACAGTTAAAGTCAGAATTATTAGCCCCCCTGTATATGTCTGTTTAACGGAAGGAAGATTTTTTTCAACACATTTCTTAATATAGTTTTAGTAACTCATTTCTAACAACTGATTTATTTTAACTTTGCCATGATGACAAGGAATAATATTTTAAAAGATTTTTTAGACACAAGTATTCAGTTTAAAGTGACACAAAAAATTTAACTAGGTTAACTATGTTAACTAGGCAAGTTATGGTAATTAGGCAAATCATTGTATAACGATAGTTTGTCCTGTAGACAATCGAAAAAATATATATTGCTTAGTAGGGCTAATAAAATTGACCTAAAATGTTTTATTTTTTTAATAACATAACATAAAATCAAAGAGCTTAGAATAACCAAGAGGCGACACTCAGTAGAACGATCCTTTGCAACAGCAGCACCCAGCAACAGCCCCAGATTCCGCCGTTTTGGAGTGAAAGCGATCGGCTGTCCATTGGATCTTATTGCTGTTGCGATGGCAAGCAGCTGCTTTGTTTTTTATTTATTTATTTAATAAGTACATTAAAGCTGAGATACAACCTGAAAGACGACAATACAACACTTACTATCACAATCATCAGCGCTTTTAATAGTTTATTTTACAGGCTTATGATATGCTGTAGTTCTATTGGAGTTTTCATTCCAAATTGGCCGCCGCGCCCTCTAGCGGCTGTTTCCCAAATTGCACTGGAGTGTTGCCTCTTGGTAATTCTATGCTCTTTGTTGAAATAAAACAAATAAGAATTTCTCCTGAAGAAAAACATGGGAAATATTGTGAAAAATGTCTTGCTCTTGTTAAACATTATTTGGGAAATATTTAAAAAAATAAAAATCACAGGAGGGATAATAATTCTGACTTCAACTGTACATCACGTTCAGTCTCATAAAAGAGCTTGTGAATTACTTTTAGGCAGCCTTCATTTGGATTTTGCACAGTCAAAAATTGTGTAAGTTAAGCCCAATACACTTGCACTAGGAATAGTAAAACATACTTTTTGAGTGGCCTGGGGTAAAACATTTTCATTTTTGGGTGCACTATTCCTACACACATCTTTCAGCCACTCACCTGTTGAACAGTTCTGACAAACTCAAGGAGACTGTACTACATACTGTACCTCTGAAACATTTGTACTTCAACTAAAAACAAAACTGGATTTCAATTACAAGATGTGATAAATTTATACAAGCGGAATTCAATGTTTACAGCACACAGGACACTTCCTCTAACCTCGCTTTTGCATATTTGTATTCCGAAGTCTTAAAATCACAATCAAGCATGTTGCAAAGGAAAAAAAATTATACTAGAAAAGTGTTATTATTATTATTAACAAAAGAGTTGGATTAATGCTTATAACAGAGACACACTCGATTTATTGCATTACTTTGCCTTATTTATTTTGGACTTTAGGTCTGTGGATTCAAGGATTCTCCTGTTTCAGTATATTTAAGAACAGTCTGTTCATTTTTGTGTTGAAAGTATTCTGGTACACAGTTGTTGTAGTATTACCGATTAACCAAAAACATCCCCGTCTTTGGTAAGTGTTTACATACAGTACCAAACATAAATGCTTTTTATAAAGTGCCACTTAGAGATGTCTGTTGCACATTTTGATATGTCATTGTTCAACAGTTACTTTTGTTCCCCACTGCAATGATCTATGACGATGAGAACATTACAATCACATAAATACAATGTGTGACCTTTATACACAGGCCTTCATAGTTTATTGGATATAAGTTTTACACTAGGGTGTGTATGAATGACATTGATTAACAGACCTAAATTGGTCTTTGCACCAAATATATAGAAGATCCAATTGGAATATTATTATTATTATTTATTGCTTACTGTCTATGTCAGTGTTTCTCAACCATGTCCTGGAGGACCACCAGCTCCGCACATTTACCATGTCTCCTTAACCAAACACACCTGATTCTGATCATCAGCTCATTATCAGAGACTGATCGACCTGTAATTGGTGTGAAAGTCAAAAGAGACATGCAAAACATGCAGTGTTGGTGGGCCTCCATGAACGTGGTTGAGAAACCCTGGTCTGTGACATAAAATTATAATAGTTAATATAGGATATATTCATAATGAAAGGCTTACAATATTTTTAGCTAAAATGAGTTAAGTTTGATACAGCAGTGTTTTAATTGTTGTAATTTATCATTAAAGTTATTAGTGACGTTTAATTAAGCATGCTTATGTTTTAGTTTTGCTTGTATATTTAATTTTTAGTATTAAAAGCTCCCTCATCGTTTGTCAAAAAATTTCTTGTTTGTGGTTTTGCAGTTCATATAAACTAATGGATAAAAAGTAAATTATTGCATTTATTTTTGGAAAAGTCCAGAAGATTTTCATCTTATCACTCATGCTAAAAGAAAAATTGTGTTAATTAAACTGATGAATAAAATGTTTATTTGGCTAAATAATATGGCCTGACTGAAAAAAAAAGTTTGTTGAACATTTTCCCAGGTATTTTAATTAATTTTAGAAGTCACATTGGATCAGCTCATTGTCTCACCATTTGTTAGAGTTCTGTCTATATTCTTAAAGATATTTGTATGTTGTTGAGTGCAATAAAACAAGGTCTGTGCAATACATGAGATCGTCCCTTTATTGAGTCATTCTCTTTCTTCCCCATACAATTTGGGGGGGAGTTTCATTTTGAAAATGTCTAGAAATGCTGACTTCCCAAAAGTATGTTTATAAGCATCATGGGGACAGGGAACCGCATTTTAAAGAAGTAACGCAACATTTATGGAACAAGGTTTATTTAGCATTTGTGATGTGTTTGCATGTTAAGAAAACGAGGCAGCTATATTAAACGTCATCTATTAAAACTTTAAAATGGCCAGCATTTAATTAAAGCACGCTACATTAAAGTTGTCGTGTTTTTTAGAGTGTTGTTTTTAGGTTACGTGTTTATATTTGACTCCCACGTTGGTCTGCCAGAGCTCATCAAACTGACTGAGGTGTCCAATCAAAGTAGGCGGAGCTTTATCGTTCACCAAACAAACATGCAGGGCGACTCTTCGCCGTGAGGTAAGATATAGCTACATGTTTAACAATTGTCTTTTTGAAGATAGAAGTGTAAACAAACGGTAATATACTGAGTTGAAATAAATTTATTTTTGGTCATTTTTTTACTATTTAATAATTTAGCCTATTAGCTCTTCTTGAATGTGACGAAGCAGGAAGCTATCTGCTGTTTTGCATTTTTAATAACGTTACATCATGAAGACATCCAACGGTTATAAATTGAGAGCTAAAGCCTTTGATGTTATTCCTTTCAATTGCTTCATTAAAGAATCTAAATTCTTTATAAAATTAGCGCTTATGTTGGGGACTGTGGTGTGCTGTTGAGCCTTAATAGGAAATATGCACACAAAATTTGAATTTCAGTCAGCCAGCCCCAGGGCTTCTGGTGAATTGTCCTCCCATACAAAAATCGCTGCGTTTAAGATTTGATTTCTTTAAATAACATGGATTGTTACTGCCTGTCTGAGATATGATATTAAGTGGGTTTCAGACCTGACAAGAAGTACTACATTAACCCCACCCCCCCACACACACACTTTTTATTTTACCACAGTATTTCCAAAGTTTCTACTCTAGTCTGCTGCTAATGATGGCACCTGTGCTTAAACGGTATTTCATATCGTTTTACGCTTTAACAAGCAAATGAATGCTTAAGTCTACTTAACTGAATGTATTTTAATTACATTACAACATTAATGCTGTAAGGAACCATATGAAATTTAAAATATAAAACTCTCACTGTAAGTTGGCTGAAAAACACTTGTTGTGCATATAGCCCATTCGACCACAACTTTCAGCAAATGAGATGATTTTTGGTGACAAACCTTATTTTGACACGTATTTTGGTGAAAATGTTCAAAAACTCAACAATACACTGTGGGCAAATTTACTACACAAAACTTTTCTTTAAATATGGTGTTTGTTGTCTGTAAATTAGATGTGTAACGGAGGCCAGCTAGTAGGTGCTGTGCTGGTAAACCTCACTCCTCTGACCTCTAAAGGTGCTCTAGCGACAGATGCTAGAGGCCATGGTCTTCAGCTTCCTTGGTAGAGCAACCGACTCCCATGCAGAAGGTCACTGGCTCGATACCAGCTCGGAGCGGGTTGGGTGGCGTAGGACCGATTTGTTTCAGGAGGATTTGTTTCAAATCTATTTCTAAATTCTGTTATAATTTCCAGCAAACGAATAAATGAACAATAATAACGAAGTGTGTTCAAAAACCTGAGTTATATATCCAATTACACATGCTATGCCCCTCATGGTCTGAAACCTGACAGGTGGGCAAATCTAAGCTTGTTTTTAATAAAACAAATATAAATATGGACATTATAAATAATACTGCTACTAATAATAACATTATACAAAAGCAAATTGTTATGAATAAACTGAAAAAGCCCCCGAGATGAAGAAGGAATAAAAAAGTATGGTTTTTATATTTATGTAGGCTAGAAAATAATATGTTTTGTAATATTTTAATCCTTTATATTTATATCCTATATATCCTTATTATATCCTATATATATATATATATATATATATATATATATATATATATATATATCCTTTATATTTTAACTCTTTTTCATATGTAAAGATATTTGCGTATTGCTGTACATCCTGTCTGTATTAAGCAATGTGTAAGCGAGGCGCACAACTAACACGCTCTGCGCTGGACTTTAGACCGGCTTTGTTCTGGTCTATTGAATGATCTATTATAGTTTCTCAAAAAAGCAAAGCACCAGCAATGCGCCTCAACACGCCTCCTTTTTTAGATTAGAATGCCTATGGGTGCACATATGAGAGCAAATGCATTTGCTATTTAAACAGCGTGGTGCAAAACGTCAAAACGACTCTTGCGCCAAACTGAAACTATCAATCAACTATTGCGTCGCGCCTTGCGCCTGTTGTATGATAGGGCCCTAAAACTTATTTGAGTTAATATTTCGGTTATTTACTAAAATATATCATTTAAATCGTTCATGGAGCTGAATGCAGTAAATAGTCTGTATAAAAAAGGCCGAAAATAAATCTGTGCGAACCAGCCAGCCTTTATAACCTGATTATTTAACAAAACATAATTACTGCAGTAAAATATTTGTAGTCTTTTAATAAGCAAGATGTGTACAAGATAAAGAGGGTATAAAAAGTTAATTGTTTGTTTTGAAATTTGTGAATCGGAATTTGCCCAATAATAAACCCCAAACACTCGTGATTGTTGTAGTGCGGTGAACTTGGCCAATCGTGTAATATTCATGTCGTCATCAGAGCTCGTGCAGTCGCTCTTCAGATGCTGCACAGTCTGAATCAGTCATTTGATCTCGGAGCTCTGTTGCGGTACTTTGATGCCACATGTGACAGTCACGTGGCGTCGGCGCAGTTTCAATCCGGACGAAATTTCTAACCAGCATGAACTGCTTTAAGGCAGATTTCGATCGATCTGCGCAGCGCTGCATGAAGTCGAACGCCTAATTGACCTATTGTAATTGGTCGGTTTAGTTTTGATGATGACGGTGGGTGGCGCATAAAGTAGCGTGTTTTAATTTCAGTTGTTCAGCATTGATGTTTGGTAAATAGTGATAAATAGTAGACAGTGTGTTTCCTTCAATTATTTTAAAATCAAGTAATGCACGCTACATTCAAAAATCTTTCACTTGTAATATGTGAGCATATTTACTGTACAAAACTTGTCAGTAAGCTATGAGGGAAAAAACAAAAAATAAATACATAAAATATTCATTCATTAATCAATATCAAGTTAAAATGTTTCATTAAACAGAGATTTAGATTTTAGGCCAAATCGCCCAGCCCTCGTTTTTATCAAACTGTATTATCCAGTACAAAATGCAAATCTGTTTTTACTCCAATGTCCCCAAAAATGAAGTATGTTCTTTTTTATTTTCTCCCTGTTTTGTTTCATTCTGTTTTCAGACACAATGTTTTATCAAAGACAGTGGAAGATGAGAGATGTTAGTACAATTTCACACTTCCACCTGCAATTTCAGAATCGCAGAGATGACATGATCCATCACAACACGACACTTGTTTGTTCATTTGCCACCAAATCCTCTGTGCTGCAATATATACCTTTCACTTTGACAAATACAGCAAAAGAGAAGCCAATAGTCCCAGGACGGATGTCATCACGGTGCGTAAGAGTACTTCTCGAGTATTCATGAATTGCTTTGTGTAAACACTGTTAAAATAGACAGTACTTTTAATATAATTGAGAACAAAGCGAACTTCTAAAGGAATCGTGCTTGTTCTATTTATTTAAAGTAATTAAAACACACATTAAATTGACTATTTGAACCAAAAATGAAACATCAGAGAACTTTTATGTTTGAAAAGTAATTTGAATGTTGCTAAATGCGTCATGAGGTGTCAGAAGTAAAGAATCTGAGATGCTGAAGCAGTCAGTAATGGATAGTGAAGAGCAAACATTTGTTAGGACTCTGTGCAAGCAGAGATAGGCTCTGTCTGAATCGACAGCGCACCCTTAATTGTGTCTATGACGAGAAAACCATCACGTCAAAACCATTAAGACTGGGATGGGGTGACATGAGCAGTATTGATCGCTTCAGGATAGATGGTCTCAGAAGATATAAAAGTGAAGATCGCGGCCGGGACGAGAGTACGGAAGACTAAAGTCAGCCACGATCCTCTCAACATGTTGTCTCTGGCGGTGCTCTACATTCTGGCTGTGGTTTGTTCTGCTAGGAGAACTTATGCGCTGCCTCTGTATTCAGACACGGCTCTGCCACAACAGGAAGGTAAGGCAACATTGTGCTTGTTAAGGCTAAATGTAAAGTGAAGTTTATGACAGTATGTTTATTAAATATTGGGTTATTTTCAAAGTGCTTAAAGGGGTAGTTCAGGCAAAACAGTACAATGGCATTTTATTTTTGATGTCATTTATTCATTCATTCATTTTCTTTTCGGCTTAGTGCCTTTATTAATCAAGGGTCACCACATTTTTTCAGTATCAAATTACTTCTGTCTTCTATTTTCTGTTGAAAATTAGAGAAGAGTATTTGTTGGCCTTATAATTATTCCATTATGGAAGCCAGTGGGGACCAAAAAACGTTTGGTTAAATACATTCTTCAAAATATCTTTTTGTGTTCAGCAGAAGAAAGGTGTTGCATACAGATTTGGAACAATTTAAGAGCCGTCTTTAATATCTCTACTGCTTCCAGGATAGATGTTAAAAAGGAAGCATTTAATGAACTTGATTAGTGATAAACTGATATTTTAATCCTATTCCAAACCTATCTTGGTTAGCTTTTATTAAGTAAAAGTTCACCAGAAAATGTAAAAAGTGAGACGTGGTTCCGTTAAGTTTTTTTTCTGCTGAACACAAAAGAAGATATTTTTTAAAAATACAAAAACGAAAAGGTAGCCAAATACTTCCATAATAGGAAAGAAAATAATATGGAAGTCAATGGCCTGTTTTCAACATTCTTCAATATATCTTTTTTCTGAAGAAAAAAACTCAGACAAGGGAACAGAGAGGATCGAAAGTTCCAACTAGTGAATTTACACTTTAAAAAGTCTGTTTTTCAATCAACTATTTTAAGAAGCATTTTTGGTAATCCATATTTGACCCTATTTTGTTGAAACAAACCTGATTTTAGAGTGTATTTGCTGATGTCTTTTTATTGTATTGTATTTCCTTTCACTCTTTGTTTTTTAATTATCAAAATTAAAATCTGACATTTTTTTGCAGAACTGATTCAGAAGCTGGTAGCAGAGGTTGAAGACGGACAAAGTAATGATTTAACAGAGCAAAGAGATATTAAAACTGTGCTTCCTGTCCTGCTTCAGAGAGGTGAGCTATGACTTTTGGATACTTATAAAGGAGAACATTGTGTTATGAGGTTGGATATAATTAAAAAATAAACTTCAGTCAAATCATGTTTCTTAACTCTTTTTTTTTTTAGGTGCAAAAGAGACTTTGCAGCAAGAGAAAATAAATAACATGGTAGGATTTTACTCTTTTGATTTCTTTCTTATTTCAACATAATTTAAAATTGATAATAAATCACTGTGTCACTTCAGGTGGATGATTTAAAAGCAGTGGTTTTGAAACTAGCTGCAGCTGATAACCTGCGTTCTCAAGGTTATCTACGATCTGAGCAAAGCTTGCCCAAAAACAGTAAGAGAGGTAAGCCACCAAAGAACGAAAGCAGCAATTTTCATATATCTAGTGAAGTAGCCAAGAATATCAATTAGTCTTTTAATAAAAGCAATAAGTAAAACAAGATTTACAACTGCATGGAAAAACATTTAGAGACCATTTCAAATGTTTAATTGGTTCTCTGAATTTGCCTGGTCCATGTTTTGTTGTGATTTTTTATTTGAAAAATATTGATTATGTGTCTTTAAAATTCTAAAAACAGTAAGAAACTACAATACCCAACAGGCACACAACGTCATAAGACGCTAATATTAGGTTAGATTTAAGTCGTGTCATCAGGTGACCAAAACTCAATGTCAAGCCAGCGTCTAAGGACAATGTTATTTTCACGTCCAATAACGTCGCTGATATTTTGTGTATCTTATGTTGTGTTGGAAAGTGACCAAAATGCAACGTCGAGCCAACATCTTACACCAACGTCATATTGACGACAAACACTGACATTTATTCGTTAAATATGGCACCCAAAATCCAACGACTAATAGACGTTATAGTGGAAATTTCCACACAACGTCAATCTGTAACATCATCAGACGTTGATTTTTAGGTTGGACGTTGGTCAGCCTGACATTGGTTTCTGGCGTCAACCCAATTTTAATTTCTTAACAAAATGCAACGTCCCCACAGCATTGGGGTACAACGTCAATTTGACGTCATGTTGACATCCCGTGCCTGCGGGGTAAAGTCTCTTTTTTTTTCCCCCTCAGAGCTGTATGTACTGTAAAGCTTAGATTATATGTCATGATGGGTTTATTTCCTTGATACATTAATTAATCTAAATTTCGCTGTTTCCTTTACAGCTTGTTTTTGGAAATATTGTGTTACAAACTAGGAATTTTTCCACGGAGATGGACAGAGGACCAGCCTAACACACCCTCATTTACAAAACCTAGAGCATATGCCTTTGTTTTCCCCATACAAATCCATTTTGCTGCCCTTTTACATTGTGAATATTGTTTTATATATAGTAACCTTACAAGAATCTGAATGTATTTTTTAATCATGAATGAAAAATGATCTGGTGACATGTATGATATTAATTTTATTTCTAAGTAAAATCTGAAAGAAAGCAGTTCAGTCTCTTTCTTATTCATGACTCCTTCACAATACCCCTTCACACAATACAACCATTTGGATTTAAACTACACTTTTGTCTCCACAGTGTTCTCTACTCATTCTTAAAAAAGATTAAAAACAGACATTTTAGTTATACGTATAACCGAAATTGGCCTATAATGAAGATAAAATACATTTACAGTATACTGTACACTATGCACAAAAAATTACATTTGTATGTAAGAGCATTTGCAAAGGATCCTATAACCTCTAAAACTACCAGAATAAAGCCTTTTTAAAGGTAAGAGTCACTCAAAAAGTATTGTAGTACATCTTATGGACTCCAAGAAAGAAAGTTCATTAGCAAACACTGTGTTGTTTGCGTTTGCTGTAATAGATTTCCAATACAACTATGCAAACGGCTATAAACTTATTTACATTATTTAACATTTCCCCCCTGTGTTTCCTCATTGATCTGAAGTTCAGTTCCTCTTGACCACACTCAGATAGGCTTTCTCGATTTCAATATCAGCTGGACAGGTCTGGCTGAACTCTTCTCTTTCATACGCACTCTGCAAATAACGCCACACTCCAGTGAACTGAGTTGGAATATCAAAATTGCAGTATTTCCTGGCAGCAACCTACAACAACGATAAACAAGAAAATCATACACTGTTAACGATTTTTTTCACAGTATTTTACTGTATTAATTTCACAGTATTTAATGTAATATGAACCGAATTTTACTGTTGGACAGTTATTCAGTATGTTACTGTATTCTAAAGTTGTATTGTGTGTAAAGGACTATATTTTACAGTTAATATAGTATATACAATACTGTAATTACATATACAATGAGATCAATGGTGCTGTAAATGTAAATACAGTATTTTTACTGTAACTAATTTCTAGTACGTTTCTGATGAACTGCTGCCAGTAAGTTACTGTAGATCTTACATAAAATTGTTAATAGTGTAAATGTGTGTTTAAAACTGAATAGGTTTATTAAATGAAGCAGGTGCATCACCTTGATGACGTGCAGCTTTGGCAATAAGTTGCAGTCTGCCAGTGTTAAGCGGTTTCCATCGAGGAACTTTCTTTTGGAGACGCTGATGTTTTGATCCAGCTCGTCCTGGAGCGGAGTGTTTAGATAGTCATCCAGGCGCTTAAACTCCCTCAGTAAGGCTTTTTCATGGACTGAGGAATGAATTAATAGAGGATAACATGTAAGAGCTAATGTAAAGATTTTAATGTAAAATTGAATACTAGATACTTAGATTTATTCAGTTTAAAAAATTAATCTGGTGTAAATGTAGCTGTAGATAAAGCCATATCCAATAGGTTTGATTGGTTTACTTCATATTCGGGGGCAAAACTGATGCAGCTTCGTACTCCTAACAAATAACTAAAAAATATCGATCACATCAAGTTTATTATTTAAATTAAGAAGTATGTAATCCAAATGCATGGAAATTGTATATGCCACCAGAATAAATACATCTTATTTGTTATGAGTGTACTTGAATATTCAGATATAAAAAGCAGTCTGGCATCTTTTAAAACACAAAATCAACCAAATACATGCTAACAATAAGACATGCAGTCTATTTCACTGCAATGATACTATCAAATTAAATTTGAATTAAAAATTCTAATTTTATTTGCCACATACACAGTACGATATGCAGTAAAATGCAGATTTAAAGCAAATGTCCTTTTAGCTGTGGTAATATGTCATGCAAACTTCGATTGGTCAAACATCTTTATATTTAAAATGATTTTTCAGATCAGAGTCAACCAAAGTTTAACTATAGAAATTAGTCACCAAGTTGACATTATCACATTTAGTACAGTGTACATCCAGGCTGATCTCACAAGGAAATGTAAGTATTTTACGTTTTGTCAGTTTAGTGGCTAATTCATACGAATTCAGTCGTACAAAAATGTACGATTTTAAAAACGAGGCGTGGCACCAGACCTCACCCCTTTGCTTGGGATGAGCAAACCATACTAAATTGTATAAATTAGATCCTACGAATTCATACGAATTAGCCACTAAATGAAAAAGTTACGAATTGCCGTGAGATTACGTTGTGTACATCACATGCGCACTCAGAATCTCACCAGAAGTAGATTTTGGTACCTTTGCGTTTATGTGAATTTGGTTGTACTTTGTTTGTCACATAGACATTTATTGACATCACTCATTCCATGAGGAACCTTCAACATCTAAAGAATCTTTCAAATTCAAAGAGGGTTCTAGTTGAGATTAAATGTGGAAACAAAACAGTTTGTCTATAGCTTTTTTAACCCTTATTTTTAGAGCATTCGATACACGGTATTTAACTGTAAAATGAACTGTAGTACAGTTTTGCAGTTTATTACTGTATTTTAAAGTTGAATTCTGAAAATGACCACATTATTCAGTAAAGATATATAGTACTGTTAATACATTTCTTGTAGAAAAAAAGAATCTGGTAGGAAGTTACTGTACATTTTACAGGAAATAGTTTATAGTTAGTACTGAATTTTGAATCCAGTTTTTGCGTTTTTTTGCATGAATAAAAAAATCAATCGAATAAAGCGTATTATGTTCAGTTCCTTTCTGTTGTCCCAGTGTCATGCAAATGAATTAAGCAACAGAAAGCAGTAGACATTAGACATAGGTTTTTAACAATTATATCTTAACTTTGAATTGAACTCACAAGCATTGTTTGGACTGTTCTTGATGAAAGCAGAAAACTTGGCAAAAATGTCAGCACCAACATCAAAGGACTCTTTGTAGCGAGGGCTGAGATGAGGATAGCTGAAAGGATTAGAAATAAAGAGAGAAATATTTAAAACCAACCATCTCATACCTAGAAGATCCAACAACATTTACACAATAATGCAAAAAACACTTAAGCTTTTTTGTTAAGCAGTTATATATTGTAGACCACAGACCTTTTCTACAAAAATTTCAAATACATTCTGCTATATACATTTAAAGTCAGAATTATTAGCCTCCCTGTATATTTATTTCCCCCAATTTCTTCCAACTTTTTTTCATCACATTTCTAAACATAATAGTTTTAATAACTCATTTTGAATAATAGTAAAGGCCTATCTAGGTTAATAGGGTATATGCCGAAGCAAGCTATTAGGTCTTTTAATTTGCCAGTAACCAGGGTTAATCGCTTCCGGTGAACTATATGCCAATGCAAAATCGTCGCGTTAAAGGTCTTTTCTTTAAAAAATCAGCGATCTCCACTGGCTGAGTGATATCTGATATAAAGTGGGTCTCAGATTGTACAAGAAGCACTGCATTAAATTATATTTTTCACCACCATGTCTTTATGAGCATTTATTTTACCCCAGTATATTCAATGGAGCTTCTGCGCCTGATCACAAATTAGATTTTCTCCAGAAGGAAAAATATTATAGGAAATACTGTGAAAAATTATTTGCACTGTTAATCATCATTTGGGAAATATTTAAAAAAAAAAATCACTGGGCTAATAATTTTGACTTCAACTGTATATACCACTACTCTGTTAAAAGAATATATTTTGTTACATTAGACTCTAAACTCTGGGTTGTTGAACCCAAACATTGGTCTAATATAGACAAACTCAATCACTTGGTCAATTTTGTTAACTGTAAGTAAATATTTTAACTCATCGGTGGGTTTTGTCCATACCTGAACTAGGAATATATTGGAAAAACTGACATTGCGATGTTTTGTTTTTTTGCGATATATATTGCGATATGAAAATAATTGTACAAGATGACTATTTGGAAAGAATTGCTAATTTTATATTCATTGGAATCATTTGTAGTTGAGTACATCTGCAAAAAATATATATGAAAATGTGCAAAAAAAAATAAAAAATCAAAACACACACTGGAAAAAAACTTTCATTCATTTCAATTTGAAAAAAAATTTGGGGTAATGGTGCATATCTAAATTTTATCACTTGACCAAATGAAAAAAATAATAATTTGCCTTAAACAATATTTTTTTCAGTCCATGAAAGTACTCTGCGTGAATAACCTTAACATTTTACATTTGTCAAAACAAATATTTCTTCGTTGAGTTCTTAATCAAAAACATTTGTATTTAACCATGTTTTGAGCTTAAAATACTTGAAAAATAAAACAAAAATTATTAAACCGGATTGAAGGTTACATTTTTAATTAAATGAAGTACTGCTTAATTTTTTTCAGATGAAAACAACAAAAGGTAACAGTTAAATAAACAATTCTTTATGGTTTTCAGCTGTGTAGAAATCCAATTATCAAATGTAAAACAACACAAAATGTCTTTATGCTATTGTATTAAATAAAGACAATTAATCTTTACTAAAGCAGCCAACTTTAAAAGTTCTTGTGTCCAAATAGTCCAAATTCTCTTGAAATCTTACAGTCACAGGCCTTAAAAACACACCAAAAAAAAACTAGGTTTCCTGTAAAATTATAAACCGAATTAGACATTGCCGATCCTGCGATGTGACTATTTGCATATTTGCATCTTGCGATATCGATGATGAAGCAATATATTGTGCAGCCCTAATCTGAACTTTTGAAACAACTCAGCATATACAGTATTTAAAGTGTAAAAGTGTCTAATTTCTAATCAGTTTAATGAATGTCATCTTTTTCAAATATACAGTTTACATTACTATTGACAGAATGACACTAGAATAGCATATAATAATATTTCTTTGTCGCGAGAATAGGTTGTGTTTGACATGGCATAATATGAGCAAATAGACATGCACAATACCGTGGAGGGGCGAGAGTAGTCTCCAGGAACTCTTCGATCTTAATGAAGTCAGTCTTTAGTGTGCCATTGTACAGTAGGAAAGGAGGGTTGGTACCTGGAGCTAAATCCTTCAGCTCATCGGGCTTCCTAAACAACACAGGGTGGAGCACAACAGAGGGAGCGTAAACCACAGGGTGCGGACATGGTCAACACCAAGCCATTTCTTGTGTACGCAGAGTCTTTGAATGAAACCTAAAGTGATTAATGCTGCTTTAGGACACTATCAATGTAATTTAGCACACGGATATGGGAGTGTTCAGCTGTGAGAAAAACTGAAAATTAACATGGGAACAGTGCAGTGTGAATGTTCACACTCCTTTCATCCTGTTTGTATGTCGATTGTACTTTGACCGTCCTCAATGTTATCAAATCTAGCTCTGAATTACACTATTTGCCTAATGAATTCCATTCCACTTGATGGCTTTATCGTCATGAAGGCTGCGAGTGTCTGTTTTAGTGATATGAAAGCTCAGGGTGACACTTACTTCCTCATATCCACAGTGGTTACTGTGAATTTGACTCCTTTCAGCCAAAGAACCATGAAGAGTCTCTGGCAGAAGGGACAATTCCCCACATTTTCTCCATCATGACCCGCCTTGAGACAAAAAAGAAGAAATTTGTGTTTAATATAGAGTTAATGATAAAAATTTTCCTCATTTTTCTTTCATTTCTCTGACTTCTAAAATGAATTCTGTTATCATTCACTTCCCTTTATTTTGCTCATTTTCTTCAGGGGAATTTCAAAGATGTAAAGTCGCACTTAAAAATAAACTATTCCATGAAGAACCTTAAACATCCAAAGAACTTCTCCATTTCTCCAAATGGTTCTTTATTATTATTATTATTATTATTATTCATTTATCAATTTTTCTTCACATTTATTCATAAGGGGTCGCCACAGCAGAATGAACCGCTAACTTATCCAGCATATGTTTTACTTGGCGGATGCCCTTCCAGCTGCAACCCAGTACTGGGAAACATCCATACACTCTCACATTCACACACACACTACGGCCAATTTAGTTTATTCAATTCACCTACAGCGCATGTCATTGAACTGTAGGAGAAACCGGAGCATATTGAGGAAATCCCACGCAAACATAGGGAGAACATGCAAACTCCACAAAGAAATGCCAGCTGACCCAGCCGGGACTCAAGCCAGCTACTTTATTGCTGTGAGGCAACAGTGCTAACCACTGAGCCCCCGTGTCGCCCTAGTGTTCATTGAAAGTTTTTTTTTTTTTTTGAGGAACCAAAAATGGTCCTTGTGTTGCAATACCGCCACAAAAAAAGCTTTCTTTGGATTTTTTACATTTTTTTAGGGTATAAACTGAACGTCGGTGCAGTTTAGACCTCAGTGTTCAGTAAAATGTATTTTTTCTGTGTGTGTATGTGTCTTGCAGAAGAAAGAAAGCTAATGACATGAGGATGATTAAACAATGGCAGAAGGTCTGAAATTTCATTGGCCAAGGACCACATCGAGCCCATCTGACTATCAAGTAAAATAACCAATCATAGTTGAAAATGTATATCCTACTGTACAGTAACAGACTGCAAACACACATCTTACATAAAAACGATAGAATTCAACCATTCAGGTGACAACTTGAAAAATGTTGACGTTTTACAATTTTGAGTGCGATCTGAACTAATAACTAACCCTTTTATCAAAATCCTGTAGAAACAACTGAATATTGCTTTAATATTTAACCCATTTGCTATGTATATTATCAGGAAGTATCAATGTGTTATTTTGAAATGGCTTGTTATTCTTGCTAATGTTGCTTAAGATGATGCAAAATGGAGTTTGCATTTACAGTTTGAATTAAACTAAAATTAAATTGATGTTTTAAAAATTTGTCTCATATCAATGCTGCTTATTAATTAGTATGGTAAAAAGTAATATTGTTATGTCACAATTTAAAGTTTCACTTTAGTCAGATGATTCTGTAGAAATCATTTCAAAATGCTCATTTAGTGTTCAAAAACTATTTTGTAATATCAATGTTAATCAAAACAGTTGTGCTGCTAAATATTTTTGGCGAAGCCTGGATCAATTGTATTTAACCCTTATAATATGTTTTAAAACACATGAAAATTCGTCTGTAGGATCTTACCCATGTAGTGTACAAAAAATAGACCAGTTTTCAAAGTCTGGACTCAATGGATTATTTGTAACCGAGTCTTTGCTTAATATATTGAAAGAAGTTTTGTAGTTGTGTCAATGTTAGGAAAATCAACAATGTTTGTTTTATATGAAGTAGACCTGTAAAATACATGATTAGAACTTTTTGAATTTTATTTGTAATTGAATTTAATTTATGTTAATGTACAGTTAGATTTAAAGCTATTTGCCCTCCAGAATTATTAGGTGAAAAATTCATTGCTCTGTTAAACACCATCAATATTTGAAGAATAAAACAATTCTCAGGAGGGCTAATAATTTTAGCTGTAATCATTTCTGTGAGACGTCACATGAAGGAGACATCGCTGTAAAATATAGTACAATCCAGGTATTTAAACAGCACCGAAGTTCTATTATTATTATCATTCTTGTTGATATATGGCTTTTATTTTTAACTAAGTGTGTCCCTCCCTTCAAAAAAAGAATGGGACATGAATAGGCCATGTGATGTTTGGGTGTGGATGTTTGGACAATTATTCAAGAGCTTGATCCAAAGAGAGGAAATGCTGGAATTGTCTAAAAGATGAGATAACAGATCTCAACAATACCTCCACCGCCCATAATGCACATCTTTTCAAAACAGCTCTGATATAAATAACTTTGGCAATAAATACTGACCCTCACCAAAGCTTTGATGAAGTACAGATCACTCATCTGTGTCCTAAGCTGTATGTCTACAGAAAAAGCGTGACATTGGTAGCGTCATGTTAATTCAGAATAGCTAACGTAGTGTTTACAGGAGTGACGACGACACCCAGTGTGTGTGCATGTATGCTGATAAGATGATCCTAGTCTGTATGCGTGTTCTGATAAAGAGGAAGCCAGGAGTGAGCAGTTACGTATCAACTATAAGTACTGCATATGTTGACTGACACCTACATCAGCCTCTGATTCATGCTGTCAAAATGTAGAGCGTCTCTAGCCCTGGCTGATCATGGTTCATGGTTTCTACATAGTGTGCAAATCAGAAATAAAACCCTAAGTCTGCTCTGACCACCAGCTCATCTAGACACATCATTTTAGAAATGGTAGTAGAATAAAATATATTTTTCTGAAATAAGTTATGCTTACACATTCAGTTGAATGTGATAAAAAAAATTCAAAAATCTATCAAGTTTAATATCACTATTTCAACAAGAGGATCGTGATACACTGTTAATGATGTCCTGTAAAATCTACAGTAATTTACTTGCAGAAATTTACCAGTAACTTCCTGTAATTTAATTACAGTATTTACATTTACAGCACCATTTATCTTACTGTATATGTATTTACAGTGTTACATATATTTACTGTAAAATATACAGCAATTGTCACAATGCAATTTTAAAATACAGTAACATACTGCATTAATGTCCTACAGTAAAATTCTGTTCATATTACATATAAATACTGTGTAATTTACAAGTATTGTTAACAGTGTAGATGTAGTGCAGCAGTCCACCAGTAACTTACTGTAATTCAATTGCAGCATAAATACTGTATTTACATTTACAGCACCATTTATCTTGCTGTATATGAATTTACAGTATTTCAAATATTTACTGTCAAATTTACCGCAATTTTTACAATGCAACTTTAAAATACAGTAACATGCTGTAAAACTGTTCTACACTAAAAATTCTGTTCATATTACATATAATTACTGTGTAGTTTACAAAAAATGTTAACAGCTTACGCACAAGTTTATCATATATCAAGTGTATTTATTTAAGATGTTTAACACAACCACAAAACCAACCAAAGTGCTTTAAAACATCATCGAGATAGCCAAAATAGAGATAGAAAAGAGATAGAAAAAACATCAAACACATATAAGACATGAAAACAGGGTAAATACATTTTCCAGTGAAAACAAGTGTTACAAATGTCCAACATAGACATTTAGAAGACACATCCCTTAACCACAATAGCCATATTTTATTTTTATTATAATTATTTTAAGAATATTTTATATTTATTGCTTATACATTACAAAAAAAAAAGTCTCATAATGCTAGTTGTTTCTTGGAATAGTTATATAATAATATCTGACCAACTCAAACTTGTAAACGATGAACAACTGACCTTTATGAAGAGCTCAATTCGCGGTTCTTTATCTGAGTCTGGTCTGAGTGCCATTTTTCCAGCAGGAAAATAATCTTATGTCACTCTTCTGTTCGTCAAGATCGACGTGAAAAATATTCCCCAGTCCAACCAAAAGATCCTCAAAAGCTTAGTACAGCACTGTAATGAGTGCAAGTGAGATGAATGTTGTCCAGACTCTGAGGACTGCCTCCAGCTATACAGACTTTAAAAGTAGGAGGGAGGGAAGCTGGAGCTTTTGGGCGTCACCCCAACTATATAACTGCACTTCCAGCCTGTGACAGAGAGAGCAAAAAATAGCTTTTCGTTTTATCCACTCTTACTTACACTCAGGAGAAACGTCACTGTGTTATCGCAGACATAAAGCAGTGGCCACATTCCATTCATACGAACTAATAATGTTTCGCCCTCCCATACATTCAATCACAATGTGTCCCTTTCAGCACTGCCGTTTTACTATAAACCATCTGATCCACTTTAACTTTCAGTTTAAAGACAGTTTTTTTAAACTGCTTTCGCTTGTCCCATCACAGAACAGCAGCACTTTCTCTTCTCTGTTGCAAAACTTCAGTGTCTTTTTTTCGTCGCTGGTGGTCATCTGACTCATGCTGTTTTTTTCATGTTATCTGCTTCTCTGGAATTTTTGTAAGTTCCAGTAACCAGTGTTTAAACCTTCCAAAAACAAATCTTGTATGGCTTTTGTTTTGAGGCAGAAAGATAAGGATTATAAAGCAAGTGATTCTTATATAGTTTTTTAACTACAAAAATTCTTTATGCTGCTTATACATAGTTATTAAGGTAATTGATGTGCACATCATGATTTTGCCGGACAATGCGATCCTGGATTAACATCTATATTGATTCTTAAACATAATTTTTGTTGGAAAATGTAATCCATATCTATTCCCTACCCCTAAACCCAACCATACCTGTAAATGATTCCCAAAATCAGAGGGGAATAAAAGTTAACAATCTTTTAGAAATGCATAAACCAAACTGTACACATAAAGTTAACATAAACGGTAAACATATTCCTTAATTCTGATCAGCTGATTGGAATAATGTTTCTGGGTCAACATAGATGTTAATCCAGGAACATCTATTTGGTGAAATCAGGTTAGCGAGTTGTTTACTCCTCACTTTCTTTGCCTCCAGTTTTATGTATATTCTGTATCCCCCATTTATCTTGTTGTATATGTTTACAGTATTACATATATTTACTGTAAAATATACAGCAGTTTAGACAATACAATTTTAAAGTACAGTAACATACTGTTTGACTGTTCTACACTAAAATTCAGTTCATATTACAGATAAATACTGTGTAGTCTACAAAAATTGTTAACAGTTCATGTTAGAGTTTATCATATATCCTGTTTATTAATTAAGATGTTTAAAACAACCACAAAACTAACCAAAGTGCTTTAAAACATCATAAATAAAGATCAAACACAAATAAGATATGAACACAGGGGAAATACAATTTCCAATAAAAAAACAAGTGATTAGAAGACACATCCCTTAACCACAGTACTCATATTTTATTTTATTATAATTATTTTTAAATATAATTAAATGTATTACTATAAATGTATTCTCCAAACTGGATTACTGCACTCCAAACTGGATTACTGCAACTCTCTACTAGCTGGGCTTCCAGCTAACTCTATCAAGCCTCTTCAACTGCTCCAGAATGCAGCAGCACGAGTTGTCTTCAATGAACCTAAACGAGCACATGTCACTCCGCTGCTAGTCCGTTTGCACTGGCTGCCAGTTGCTGCTCGCATCAAATTCAAAACTCTGATGTTTGCCTACAAAGTGACTTCTGGCCTAGCACCTTCTTATTTGCTCTCACTTCTGCAGATCTATGTGCCCTCCAGAAACTTGCGTTCTTTGGATAAAAGCGTCTGCTAAATGACTAAATGTAAATGTAAATGTACTAATATTATCATTGTTATTTTTTTTTTTTAAATCTTGATCCTGAAACATAGTTTTTGTTGGAAAATGTAATCCATACCTATTCCCTATCTTTAAACCCAACCATAACTGTAAATTATTCCCAAATCGCAGGGGAATAATAGTTAACAATCATTTAGAAGTGCATAAACCTAACCATGAGCCTAAATTTAACAAAAACGATAAACATAACCCTTAATTCTGATTGGCTGATTAGAATATTGTTCTAGGATCAACATAGATGTTAATCCAGGAGCATGTCCTTGGTGAAATCAGGTTGGCGAGTTGATGTTTACTCATCACTTATTCTGCCTTAAGTTGTTTTTTTGTCAAACACAAAATAATATAATTTGGAATATGATGCCACTGACATTCATGGGCAAAAAATACTATGGATGTCAATTAGTATCCAGTATGTTTTATGTGAGTGTGTGTATGTGTTCAACAGAAGAAAGAAACTCAAACAAGGTTTGAACAAGTGAAAGTTTAGTAAATGATGATAGAATTTTAATGAATGTAGAATATGGAATGCAAAATATGGCATCAAACTGTGCTTAAAATATTAATGAACAGTCAATATTCAAGCTGAGAAGTAAGAAAAGGTAGGGATTGTTACCAGAAGTTGTTAACTAAATGTTTTAAAATAAATATAGAGTTTCCTGTGAGTTGTAGGGGTAGGGTGTGCATTATGTGTATTAAACAATAGAAGTCTAATGCTAAGATACACACATTTGTGTTTGAGTGGACAAATGAGGGTGTGGGTAATATGTGATCATTCTCAAGGGAAGGGTTCTCTTTAAACAAGTGAGTAGTTCCCCTGATTCCCTCTGCAGTCCTGTTGAGTCACAGATGTGGTTTGAGTCAGAGGAAACTATTCCGTCATCTCTTGGCTTCCCCTTATAGCATAGAAACGCTCTTAGAACATTAAAATAATAGTGTACACTAACTTAAATTATTAAAATGATTGACATACTTGGATATTATAACAAAATTATAGCGACAGAATGTCATTCTTTAAAAAGTTGAATATATGTTTTTAATGAGCTCGAATGGGCAAGAGTTTCATTTCCTCATTCACCACACAGATGCTAAATTAGGGGATTTATTGCATCATTTTGGGGAATTCAGACTATATTACTGTAAAACTTGACTATTAAATGAAACACTTTGCTTTAGGTGATAGCAAAATCATTTACTCGTCCTCATATGTTTGAAACTTGTATGAATGGCTTTTTTAAGCTGCTTTTCTCCATTTATTAAAAATGCACACATCAGTAAAACTAGATAAATATAAATTAAATATACACTTCAAAGCAAACAACTTTTAAACAGTACCAAATTTGAGTTTTTCCTCTTGTAACAGCAGAAATGTGAAAATATTAAATAGACGAGAATAAAAAATGGAAAGCTGAATAAAACCCTTTTCATAAGGCTCTATTTAGAGCTTCAAAGGCATTGCCAAGTAAAAGTAGCTAAATTAAATGCATAAAAAGTGTTGGGTAAAAAGTAATAAATTACCATTTTACATCTACCTTATCTCTTTTAAAAAAAAGGAAAAATGCAAATTACAATAAAATAACATAGCATATATATATATATATATATATATATATATATATATATATATATATATATATATATATATATATATATATATATATATATTTTTTTTTTTTTTTTTTTTTTTTTCACATTGCGTCCTTAAAGTCTTTTTTAAGTGACTACAGATTGTAATATATAACTTTTTTCTCAACACTGTGCATACATATGTTAAAAAGATAAAATGATATAAAAATATATTTTCATAAACGTCATGGGATATATTCTATAATTGAATGACAGAATGTTTATGCATACACTTTAATAATAATTTAATAATTAGTATTTATATAGTATGAATCATAAATTTAATATACTTTCCCCAGCGCAGAAATGGAGAGAATTACAGTATCTACCTAGCTTGTCACACACTTTTAAAAGTAAAGACTGTTAAAAATATCCGTAAATTAGCAGTTTTCTATAATTTGTAATTGTTCTTTTATTTTTTTCCATTTATTTTTGCTTTTGACTTGCATTATGGGACTTTCATTTTTCTTTCAACAACGTTTAATCTTCAAAAGTTTGAAGAAGTGACTTTCATTAACATTTTTTATGTTAATTATAGTGTTGTTTAAAGTGATTTATTGTCTGGATTGGTGTTGTGTAATACAGTACAAAAACCTTGTAATAAACTGCCAGTACATTTTCTGTTATTTTACAGACTTATTTCTCTCTAAATCATTTCTTATTAATTCAAACTACAAAAAAAAAAAAAAAACAATAAAAGGCCCTTTCTTAAACTGTAGGGTTGAATTTTCAACATCATAAATCTACAGAGCAGAGATCAACATCTCATAAAGCATTTCACAACTGTAAATAAACGAAAAACACATGAATCACAAAATAGGTAAACTGTTAATTAACAGATATTTTTAGTGTACCAGAAAGAACCAAAAAAGTTTTCCAAAGTGAAGTTCTTTAAAGAGTCTTTCACAGCTGGGTGAATTTTTTTTATACTCTATAGCAGTGGATCCCAGCTGTAGTCCTGGAGACCCACTGCCATTCACATTTTGAATGTCTCTATTATTTTACAAAGGTTAAGTGGATGACAAGAACCAGGTTTGTTAAAGGAATAGTTCACCATTTTCCTGAAGCTTCCAAGAGTGCAAAAATCTGTCGTAACACTAACCCATCATGCAACAGATCAATGTGTTTTTGTAACACTAATATTAACTTAATAAGTGATTTCCAGTGCCTTTGGAATGTGTGTTTTTGATAACTTCTTGGCTGATCTCTGTCTCGATGTATGACAAACGGCATAAGAGTAAATTATGGAGATCAATTACATTTTTGGTTGAACTATTCCTTAAAAAAAAGGTTTCCTTAAAAAAAGATTCCTTAAAAGGTTTCTAAAGAAGATTTTAAACAATCCTGTACTGAAAAAAATCCTGTCCTTGGATTTACTAAAAACTATTTCAGGTAAACAATTTATATGGGCTGAATTTAAACAAACAAATTAAGTTGAACATTAGTAAATGTAAGTTGTTTGTATGTATTCAGCCCATACTGTATATAATATTTACAACCACTTCCCTTAAAAAAAAGAAGTATATGCAATGAACGATTTTTGTAAAGTGTAATAAAGAACCCTTATTTTCAAAATAAATGAATGAAATAAATAGATAA